TATTATTACTTTATTTTTTCTCAAGAATTTGAAAGAATTCAAAAAGTTGAATTTCTTGAATTTTTCAAAAATTTAAAACTTCCAAACACAGGGAGTGTCAAAACTCGCGACCCAGATAAAAATTTTAAGTAAGATACCAGGAACATGGGAAAAATGTTTAAAAAATTCTATCTGTCAAAAAAATTTAACATTTGACATTTTTTTTATGTCTATTTAATGATTCTGATGATCTTGTATATGTTTTTTTTATAATTATGAGGATACAGCTTCCTCGTTTCCTCTTCTTGAACTTGAAAAATTATTTTTCCAAAATAGAGTCAAAGTAGTGCAAAATTTAAACTCATAACTTCGAAATTTTTATAGATAGAATTTTTTTAACATATTTATATCTTACCTTTTCCTTTTTGGTTCAACAATTTTGTAGACTTTCGCATACATATCCATCGCCCGTACCCACATACACATACTCTTGCATGCCTTTGACACTTTCCCGACTTTATCTGGGACGAAATCAGGATTATCAACATACGACTTCAATTTCCGTAAAGTTTGCTCAGTTATGTGATTCTTGTCGTACTCTTGAAGCTTCTTTAGGAAATTAACATCACCGAGGACAATCTTAGCTGCAGCCCAATCAGTCCTAAAACCCACTCTTTGAAACCCAACCCCAAAACTGTGTTTTTCCCCCATACTTTGCCCCCAAAAGAAGACAAACCGATTCCATAACATACTGTACAAGTTTTGGCGGTTTTTGAAACACTTTAATTTCGTTAATATCATTCTTATTGAGAGCTTCAAGAGCTTTCGTGGCGGCTTCCAAGGCCGGTAGGGCCGTATCCAAGTCTCTTTGGGCATCATCAGCCAAAGCTTGAGTGTCTTCAGCTTTTGCTTTGGCGATTTCTTCGTCGTATTTGACAATAGCGCGGACTTTATCGGCTTGGTGTTGTTCTGTTGTCAAATTTGACATTAATTCATCCACAGCGACCGATTTTTCAGCCAAAACCGGCTCCAAAGCAATCAGAGTCTCCTTCATTGTTTCAATAACTGAATTAGTTTCGTATAATTTTTGTAATCCGTTACTAATTCGTGATCTTTTATAAATAACTTGTTCTTTTTTCGTCTCGAGTAATTTTCGGTAGAGTTTCAACAATTCCAGATAACTACTTGGTGTCGTATAATAATGCCGTCTCATTTCGAGATAAAACCGTTCAGTCATTTCTTCAACACTTTCATGAATTGTCACACAAATCGTTGATAAATTATTGCAAATTTCCTCGCTTCCCAAGTCTTTTAATGCGTTTTGAGAGACTGATAAGAGCGCTTCATGGGGCCATTTCTCGAACCAATCAATCGTACAACAATTGACCAATGAGGGAAACATGCGACAACGTCGTCTACAATTATTTTTTTTAATTTTTGGTGTTTCCAAAAATTGAAAATTTACCGAAAAGCGTCACCTACTGGACTCATACAAATTACCAAATGCAAATTATTGCGAACTCTGCTTATGAAATAGTCGTAAATACCGTCACGGTTACCGGGATCGACTCCTGCAGTTTTTGCTGGGTCTCGAGTTGCAATTATCACTTTCTCGTATTCGTCGGCTTCGAAAAGGTTCGGAACTTCGCCTAAAAATTGAACGAAATTTATCATTTTTTTATTAATGGAATAAACATTAAAATTCCAAGAATGTAGGTAATCCCAGAGGTGACTTAAAGCAGCCGAGGGCGTTTTAATTCGAAATTATAGTTTATTTCCTTAATATACAGGGTAATTTTTAAAAAACGGCAAGGGTTGTAGAATTTTTATTATGCAACGGTTTTCATTTATTTTTTTTTTTTCATTATTATTTATAATAGGTATCAATTTTTTTATGTAATGAAATTATGAAAAAAAAATTGAATTTGAATTCGAATTTCCTGGTTTATAAGTTGAGTTAAAATTCAAAATTCCTAGTCTAAAAAAAGTGAGATTTGAGATTAAAAGTCCGAATTTATTAAAATTTAAAAAAATATAGCTCTGCATTCAAAATTTTAGTCAAAATTCCAAATTTAAAAAGCACAATTCCGGGTTTAGAAATCAAAAATTCGGCACAAAAATTTAGAATTTCCAATTCAAAAATCAAAAAAAAATAATTAGGAAGTACATTTCTAAGGTTCAGAAATCAAAGATTCACATTTACACCTTTTTCTCTTTAAATTAATTTTCAAAAAAAAACACCAAAAAAAATTAAATCAGAATTCTTGTATTAGAATTCAAAATTCCTAGTTTAAAAAAAGGGAAATTTTAGATTAAAAGCCCGAATTTATTAAAAGTAAAAAAAAATTCAGTGGAAATTCAGCACATAAATTTAGAATTTCCAATTTTAAAGTCAAAATTTTGAATGGAGTCAATGTTCTCAATTGAAAAGTAAATATTCCAAATTTAAATAAATTTTGAAAAAAACATGGTTTTACATGTCACAATTCCAGTTTTCTTGTTTTGTAAGTCCGAATTCTTGGATTAGAATTGAAAATTCCCAGTTTAAAAAAGTGATATTTGTGATTAAAAATCCTCTGAATTCAAAGTTTCAAAAATTCGAAGTTTCCAATTCAAAAATCAGAATTTTAGATGAACAAATTTTAAAAGCACAATTCCAGGTTTAGAAATCAAAGATTCAGATTTACATCATTTTCTTTTATAAATTTTGACAATTCCAATTTTCGATTTATAAGAATTAAGTCGGAATTCTTGGATTAGAATTCAAAACTTCTAGTTTAAAAAAGTGATATTTGTGAGTAAAAGTCCGAATTTATCAAAATTAACAAAAATACAGCTCTGAGTTCAAAGTTTCAAGATTCGAAAGTTTCAGTTCAAAAATCAGAATTTCAGAACTTATACTACATTAAAAGCCACCATTTAATTAATTTTTCCAATTTTTGAAATCGGGCCATAAAAATTCTACATCACTTACCGTTTCTTAAAAATCACACCCTGTATAAAAAAGTATTACCTGAATTTAGTATATTGTTAATATCCTCGAGAAAATCCTCTTGCACAATTTGCGTGTCGGTAAAGAGAAAAACTGAATTTGCATTATTCGCCCCTGCATTAAAATACATTTTCCTCAAATCCTCAAAAAAGTACGATCTGTCATAGTTTCGTGTCAACTCAATTTGAAAACACCTACAATCACAATTACAGTTTCACCAACAAAATAACAAAAAAAAACCCAACTTGTATGCATTCACATGTGATGCTAATCGTGTCAGACTTTGTTTCCCCATTCCTCCAACTCCAACAAGGAGGGCATTCCCCCTCTCCGACCTCAAAATCCTCGCAATACGAACACAATGCTCAATTGCATCCATAAAAAAAATCAATTGCATGTCTTTCGATTCGAGAAGATTATAATCGTCCAAATAATCCTAAAATCACATCATTTCAATCAAAAACAAAAAATAATTTCAATTACTTGTAAAACGCTTCGAATTTTATCAACATTTTTAATCTCCTCGTAAATTCGGTCTTCTTTATTCGCCCCATATTGCATGAAATCACCAAAAAGTAACAACGGTGGATGGGTTATAACCGGTTGATCGGGCAAAGCTAAAACTGCTGTACCAAAGTTTCGTCCACAAATCTCCCTCATCAGGAAATAAAAATACGATTTATCCTCAACATTGATCAAACGATCGTGAAAAACCCTCAAACACTCGTGGTAAAACAATCGCAACATTGCACTCTCCTCCCTCATAGTCCCCGAATCGGCTTGGAGCACCCCTTGGACACATTTCGACAAATCCCGAAGATTAAACACATAGTGGGATTTCGCAGGAGTTGGCAACAAATCAGTCGCAATCCTCAGATAAATCTCAACGGCTGCACTAACCATATAATCCCCCAAATCCCTAATTTCATTCGAAAAATCAAAAAGAAAACCCTTAAGAATCGCCTTAAAGATGGCCTTGAGAGCAAACTCATTCGGTGGCGGTATCAACAACATTGCGAAAAAACGCACAAAACGAGGCGTGAGGGGGTTCCTGCCACCCCCAGGTGGGGCACAAGCCGCCGACACGACAACATCCCGAATCTCCTTCCAGAATAACTTCTCCCTATCATACAAACCCCCATAGGTGAGAAACTGGCGGAGTAACTCAATCGGGGGTTGAGCCCCATAAGTCTCCAGCTTTGGCATATTAACATCATCGACAAAAAGTAACACTTTTTTGCCCATCGGTGCCCCCAGAAGAGTCTTCTTCTTTTTCTCCAATTTTAACTCGAGGATTTCCTGTGTTCGAAAACTACTAGTTTGAGCCGAGAAATTTATAGTGACTGGGACAAAATCACCAGTTTCGTAGAGACGATTAAGGACGTTTTTTGCCACCACAGTTTTACCAACACCTAGGGATTTTCATTTTAGTTTTAGTGAGGTTTTTACCCGATTTTGGTACCAGTATCGCCGACAAACAAGACGGGATAATTCACATACATGAGACGTTCCATCACGTACCCAAAACGTACAGTATCATTGGTTGGTACCAACATCTCGAAAAATGGTACTTCTTGTTTGTAGTTGAAAGTTGGGAGGATTTTTGCCCATGGGTCTAAACGATGGTCTTGACTATTCATAAAAACACCATACAAATCAATACCTGGAGGTAATCTAAAAAAAAATAATGACACTATTTATACAGGGTGTTCCGTTTTTATTGTTACAAATTTAAACAAGTGATAGGATATTCAATTCTAAGACAAAAGTTTCCTATAAACATGTATCGAAAAATGCTTGGTAAGGGAGCTAATATGTTTTTCAGAAACTATTTAAGATAAAATTATAAAATTTGGTACAGATGATAACCTTTATACACCTAAACAAATTCAAACATCAAATGTCAAATCAGGGGCGTACGAAACTGGGGGTGTTTAAGGTAAAAAATACCCTATTTATTTTGGCTTTAGTTTCTCGGTACTTTCAGCAACAAAATCTTAAGTTCGATAGTTTATCACAGAAAAGTCTCTCTTGTGTCGATACGACTTGTTTTTGAATAAAATTAATTTAAAATTTATGTTACACACCAATATACAACATTCAAATAAATCAGAATTTACAGAATATTAAAGCAAGAAATTTATATTTTTTAATCAACCTCAACTAATTAACATTACATTACAGTAACAATAATAACATTAATTAAATGAATTTGCCTAAATCTAAAGGAGTTGTTCAAAGTGACGACCATTTTGGTCAATGCATAACCAAAGAAACTAAAGCCAAAATAAATAGGTATTTTTTTAAAATAAAAAAATACAAAAAAATAAAAAATTCGACATTTGATGCTTGAATTCGTTTGGGTGTATAAAGGTTATTATCTGTACCAAATTTTGTAATTTTATCTTAAATGGTCTCTGAAATATTAGCAAAAACCTATTAGCCCCCTTTCAGGGGGTGTAGCTCCCTTACCAAGCATTTTTCGATACATGTTTATAGGAAACTTTTGTCTTAGAATTGAATTTCCTATCACCTGTTTAAATTTGTAACAATAAAAACGGAACACCCTGTATAGCCTGGTTAAATTAGTCATAAAAATAGTGGTCAAATAACGAAAATTCCGATAGAGCTTGGGTACACCATTAGAAATAAAGTGTCAAAAGTCCCCATCGATCCCATGTGTGCTAAAAAAGTTATTCGGGGTCAAAGGTCAAAATTTGTGGTTTTTTAATTTTTTTTCGAAAACGGTAAGTTTTATAAAAAAAATAGCTCAGACAAGAATTATAGATCTTAAAATTATCTACAAAATTGGTCTTTATACTTTTTTTTCTAAGAATCACCAAAATTTTTTGACATAGAATTTTTTAAACACTTTTTCAGTACTCTGGGGACTACCCAATTACTTCCTTTCAAAAAAATGCGCGATTTTTTGAACAACCTGTATGTATTACCAAATAAATTCTTTTTAATTCTAATGGAATCGAGATATTTATAAGTTTATTGAAGTAGAAGAAAAATTTCAAGTAAGATAGGATACCAGAAACATGGAAAAAATGTTTAAAAAATTCTAACTGTCAAAAATTTTTGTAATTTTTTGACATTTGACATTTTTTATGTCTATTTAATGATACTGATGATTTTGTATATGTTTTTTTACAATTATTTAGTGAAGGTACAAAACTTTTGTCAACAAAAGCCACAAATAACATTAAACAGAGTTATAATTTTAGAATACAGCTTCCTTGTTTTCTCTTCTAATAGCCTGTAGCAAAAAAACATGGAAAATTATTTATCCTACAGAAATAAATAGAGTCAAAGTGCAAAATTTAAACTCTCATAATTTTGAAATTTTTATAGATAGAATTTTTTAATTTTTTTTTGTTCCTGGTACCTTACCCGACATGGCATTTATCTTTGGGGCGCGAGTTCTGGCGCACTCTGTATGTAGAACGTTACTCCTTCAACTTTTAAAATCGCGATATCTCAGGAATGGTGATTCTTAGAAAAAAAGTATAAAGGCCATTTTTGTAGATAATTTTAAGATCTACAATTTTTGTCTGGGCTATTTTTTTGATAAAACTTACCGTTTTCGAAAAAAATCTAAAAAACGTCAAATTTTGATCTTTGGCTCTGTCGGAATTTTAGTTATTTCAAATGTCTATTTTAACCGGACTAACCTTGCATCTGGGTATTCATCAAATTGTTCCCTCACAAACACCTCAAACTTCTCCTTTGACGCATCAGTAAGATTACCACCAAGAGCCCAAATATAGGCAAAAATAAACACCTGTGATAGATAACTCTTGACTTTGCTTTTTTCACCAATATTTTCTAACGCATTTGGTACGTTTAGATAACTCTCAATGATGGCACAAAGCATTGCAACTTTACTTATATCAACCTGATGTATGGAAAAATCACCGTGTTTTTTCACAAAACCAAAACCGTTTTCAACCGAATATTCGAATAAACCAATCATGAATTGTTTCATTTCGTGGTTTAAAACATCATCGGGGCGTTTTTCCACCCATGATTTGGCATAAGGCAACCAACCGATTTCGTCAGGATCGATGTAAACCATCCCACATCGACTGACAGTCGCTGGTGAGGCTTGGGCCAAATCCATTACTTCAAAAACCATATGGACATAAGGTGTGAGTTTAATTCGTTCCGAATTCGCAAGACATAACATTTTATTATCGTCTAGAACGGTATTTAAATTTTCAATCCAGACAGCATCGACGGGACCATCACAAATGATCCATTGATGGTCCTCTTCGGTACATTGCACAGCAGTTCGCATCATAATACCCATAAGACCATCACGCCATTCCAGAGTGTAAATATTCACTTCTCCGTAGAGTTCACCAGCGGTTACCGCTTTTGGGTTCATGGTATAAGTGTGCACGGGGTGGTAATATGGTCCTTCGATACCATCATGGTACATTTTTGTCAAGGCTTTATTTAATGTCTGAAATTTTTACTCAAAATTTTACACTTTTTGATGGAATGACTTACGTTTAAAACGGTACTTTTGCCACCACCAGTTGGCCCCACCAACATTACACCCCATCTTACAATCATGGTTTCGTACAATTGAATCACTTTCCGGATCATGGGTTTCTCAGGTTGGAGCTGTTGGTGGATCATGACGTCGACGATAGCCTCCTGGAATTTACCATAATCTTGCTCTGGTAACTCGACTCCGGGAAATAAATCGCTCAAAATTCCCTACAACGAAATACATCACTATTTGATGAACCATGAACTATGAATAATAAAACGGAAACGTTTTTCCTCTAGGGAAATTCTATTGAAGAAAATTTTTCATTCAAAATTTTATATTTTTTTTAACTTTCACATTTATATTTTTTTTTAATTTAGCCTAGGTTATTATTGACCTTTACAAAACTTATGTCGCTGCGCCACTTCACTCCTGACTAGTGTCTGTGAATTTAGAGATAAAATTATTTATACCTATAATAAAAATTGAAATACAGGGTGCGACACAACTCACGACCCAGAGAAGGTACGATAACAGAATCCATGTTAAAAAAATCTATCAATGAAAAATGACAAATGTCAAAATTTTTGATAGAGGATTTTTAAAACATTTTTTTCTGGCACACCTGTGTTTGGTGGTTTTAAATTTTTGAAAAATTCATGAAATTAGAAAAAAAATCAACTTTTTTAAATGTTTCAAATTCTTGAGAAAAAAATATAGTAATAATAAAAATAGAGAGCTTTCTACATTTAAAATGGCAATTTTCAAAATTAGAAAAAAACAATCTCAAATTTCAAGATCGCGAAAAGAAAAAAAATTAAAAAGAAATTCCAAATAAATAAAAATAAAAAGATCATTGAGATTAATTCAAGTCAAAATCAACATGAATCTTGAGAACAAAAAGAAAAAAAAAACCGTTACTTATTTCAAAATATAAACTTAAAACTAAAATTAGCGAAAATTATAGGAAAACAGAAATTGAAGTCTTGAGAAAAAATAAAAATAGAAAAATGTCAAATGTCAAAAATACATGTCAAAATTTTTTGACATAATTTTTTAAACATTTTTTCCATGCTTCTGGTATCTTATCTTACTTGAATTTTTTCTTTTGGGTGCGAGTTGTGACACACCCTGTCATTGGAGGCTTAAAATTTTTCAAAAATTCAAGAAATTAGAAAAAAAAAATTCAACTTTTTGAAATCTTCCAAATTCTTCAGAAAAAATAAAGTCATAATAAAAATAGAGAATTTTTTACATTTAAAAATTGCAATTTTTAACATTAGAAAAAAAACTTCAAGTAACTAAATATTCTTATGTCATTTTCTCAAATGTTTTCAGATTTTCATTAAAAAATTCTGAAACAATCTCATATTTCAAGATCGCGAAATGAAAAAATTTTCCAAAACAAAAATATAAATAAAAATAAAAAGGTCATTCAGATTAATTCAAGTCAAAACCAACAAGAATTTTGAGAACAAAAAAAATAAAAATATCGTTACTTATATAAAAAAAATATAAACTTAAGATTAAAATTTGCGAAAATTACAGGTAACCAAAAATTGAAAAACAGAAATTGAAGTCTTGAGAAACAGTAAAAAATAAAAATAGAAAAATTCAAATAATAAATATCAAAATTTTTTGATAGATGTATTTTTTAAAAATGTTTTTCATGTTCCTGGTATCTTATCTTACTTGAAATTTACCTCTGGAGAGCGAGTTCTGGCACACCTGTTTGTAATTAAAAAAACTTGGCTTAAAAACGCTTTCTTGTTAATATAAAAAGTATGGAACCAAATATTTTTTGCTTAAATTATTTATTTTTTAAAAAAACTATTAAATTGATGAATGATAACTACTCTAAAAATCTGTTTATTCTTTTTATTACTATTTTTTATTTAAAATTGAAAAAAATAAACAAAAAAATGAAACTAATTCCGTTTATATTTTTCAAGGAAAAACTATTTTCGATCTTCCTATTTATTTTATTCCCGAGGGAATAAAGCGTCACTTTATTCCTAATTATGAGGAAATAAATAAAAATTATGTTAAAACCTTACTTGGAAGAGGAGAGCATCATCGGCCAAAAACTTGGGCAAATTGCTGTCACGCAAGGCACAAATCAGCACCACATCCTCGTTTCGATCAGGATTCGCCCTCTTCAGCGACCCTGCCATCACCAAAACACTTTTAACAGCACGCATCCCAAAATCATAGTGATCTTGTTGTGACAATTGCTCGCTACAAAGTTTATACATTTGGACCATTTTTTGCGAAAGTACTTTCGACGACTCAAAACCTTCAGAATATAAAATAACTTCGGCAATAAGTGCTGAAACCAAATACTATTTTTCCAATTCATACAAGTGTCCATTTTATCGGTTTCTCCCTTAAATTTCATAAATAGGCAACCAATAATACAATATTTTTTTCATTTCTTGCTGTTAATTTTTTTTATACTTTTCAATAGTTACGCACGGACTATGATTATTCGATTTCGAATAGTACAAAACAATTTATGAAATGTATAATATGTTGCCTATTTTTGCTCTTTCAGGCGGGAACAAATAAAATGGGCACCCTGTATAATAAATCAACTCTTACCATAATCGGGCACCATCATTGCAATTGGTCTAAATAAAGCTTTTAAATTATCCGGAAGCTCAGTTCTTCCGGCATATCCCGGATTCATTGTAATAAAAGTCGCACATTTGTGCACTAGTTTAATTTCACGTCCTTCAAACATAAACCGTGTCAATTTTGCAGCTTTGGCATTACGTATCGTAATAATTTGTTGTGCAATAACCGAAAGTACTTCAATATCAATTCGATTAAACTCATCGAAACAACTCCAAGCCCCAGATTGTGCCAAACCGGCAAAAAAACGCCCCATTATCTTATAATCTAAACCTTCCGAACAGTTAAAAACAACACATTGAATGGCTAAAGCCTTTGCCAAGTCTTTAGTAGTCTCAGTTTTACCGGTTCCTGCAGGCCCAGCAGGGGCACCTCCTAAATCCAATTGGAGCGCCCCCATTAGACATAGATAACAACGATCGGTTAAGGGGGTTATAACCAAAACACCCGATGCTCCTAAATACTCATAACCGTAAATGTAATAAGCCGATGACATTCTCGTAACACAATCATCAAGATGCTCATCCCAGTAGTACCTCAAGACTTTTAACCAATCAAAACTATCGCTTTTTTTCACTCCATGTTCAACCATATTTCTTATGGTGTCTCGTGCATGCACATCAATTGTTATTAGAGCAATTAAGACTTTTCTTGTGACCGAATCCAAATCCGTTCGAATTAAACTAGCCAAATCGTTCAAATCCCCAATACATTTTTGCTCAAATTTTTCCAAGTTGTTATGAGCGTTTGGATGATCTAAAATCATGTGTACACCTCGTGCCCACATAATTTGTGATACTGTTAATGTTATTTGACTTGGGTGTCTCACCACCCAATCAATTCGTTGACTTGATTCAAAATCAATCAATGCTGCTTTCATTAAACGTCTCAAAGCGAAAAACATTGATGATTCAACTTTTCCTAGCCAATCTTCGACGTTTCCTCGCGCTTTTAGGCCTTTTGTTAGTGCAACTCGTTCACCTTCAGGACTGATCATTGCCGAAATATTCGTCGTAAGCATTGTCACAGATTTTGATTTTTTCACATCTTCATCACCACCACCAGGTGTTATGCCGACTTCCTCTTCTTTTGCTGCAAATTCCAAACGTGCAATGGCATCGAAACATTTACGCAAGTGAGGTTGAACGGCGTGGGGGTTTCTCGTCTGGGCCAAAATCTCCAAAAGTTCGTCGTTTGAGAGGAAATAGAAGCGGGGAAAGGCTACACGTTTCACCTCCAAGTAGGATTCCAGACATTTCATGATTTGCTCCAAAAGGGCGTTGTTTTTCTGGAGTTCTGCTAGCAAATCGGGGTACAATGCTGCTTCCATCGCGAGAGGCATCTAAAATCATCACAAGATGTTTTACACAAAAAAATTTCATTTGTTCAAGAATTTTGAATCAAAAAATTGTTTATTGCGGCCCTGTGCTAATTGTAGATAAAATACCAATCTGTTGAATAATGAACTTTTTATAAGTGGTTTTTAGCCCTTTTTGGGGCGAAAACAGTACTTCTATAACAAAAAAATGCTTTAATTCATTATTCGTTAAACAATTTTGTTCAAATTTTTAATATTGACTGTAGTTCTAAATGAGTCACCGCTGGTCATTTTTTGAGAATGTAAACTTTTCTGGGCTACTTCGAATCAAGAAATCGTATAGAAAGGACCAATCTGTTGAATTATTATGCTTTTGAAAAATTTTTCCAAGTATTTATATGCGGTTTTAAGCACCAAAAATAAAAAAAGCTATAACTTTATTATTTGTTAACCAGTTTTGTTCAAATTTTTAGTATTAGCTGTAATTCATTTAAAGTGAATCGCCACTAGTAAAAAAAACAAAAAATAGTCATTTGTTTTTGAATTTGAACTTTTTTTGGCTTTTGAATCAAGAAATTGTTTATTACTGCCCTGATGTGATTCATATTGTGCTAAATTTTGCACTAATCGAATTATATGCTTTTCAATTTTTTTTCCAAATTTTTCTAAGCGACTTTCAGTCCTCATTTTTTACTTTTGGGGCTAGTTTAGCACTATAACTGAAAAAAATGCTCTAACTTTATTATTCGTTAATCGATTTTCTTCAATTTTTTAATATTGTCTGCATTCATTTAAAGTGAGTTACCATATATCAAAAAAAAAATGATTTATTTGAAAATTTAAACATTTTGGGATTATTTTAAATCAAGAAATTATTCATTACAGCCCTGATATGGTTCAGATTATGCTACATTTTGCACAATTGTATATAAAAATATCTAATCTCAAAATTATATGCTTTTTAAAACTTTTACAAAATTTTTATAAGTAATTTTTAACCCTCATTTGTCAATTTTAGGGCTAGTACTGCTATAGTAAAAAAATGCTACATTATTTGTTAACCGATTTTGTTCAAATTTTTGTATTGGCTGTAATTCATTTAAAGTGAATCACCACTAGTAAAAAAATAACAAAAAACTGTCATTTGTTTTTGAATTTGAACTTTTTTTGGACCATTTTGAATCAAGAAATTGTTTATTACGGCCCTGATATGGTTCATATTGTCCTAAATTTTGCACTAATTGTGTATAATGAACCAATTATATGTTTTTCAATTTTTTTTCCAAATTTTTATAAGCGGTTTTTAGTCATCATTTTTTAATTTTAGATTTTGTTTAGGACTATAACTAAAAAAAATCCTCTAACTTCATTATCCGTTGAATGATTTTATTTAAATTTTTAATATTGGCTGTTTTTTCTTAAGTGAGTTATCACAGGCAAAAAAAAAACAAAAAATAGCAAATTTAAACCTTTTTTGTAACCATTTTGAATCTATAAATTATTTACAACAGACCTGATGAACGATTTTTGTGCTAAACTTGGCGCTTATTGTGTAAATAAAGGGCTAATCTGTCAAATTATGAGCTTTTGAAAACTTTTACAAAGTTTTTATAAGTGGTTTTTAGCCCTTATTTGTTACTTTTGGAGCTAGTTTAGCACTACAACTGAAAAAAATGCTTTATGATTCGTTAATCAATTTTGTTCAATTTTTTAATATTGTCTGCATTCATTCTAAGTGAGTTACCATATTGGCAAAAAAATAAAAAAATGATTTGTTTAACACTTAGAATGAATTACAGAAACATAAAAAATTTCAAGAAAATCAATCAACTATCAATAAAGTTAGATTTTTTTTTTAGTTGGAGTACTAAAATTTACAAATGAGAGCTAAATTTTGTCCTAATTTTTCCACTAATTGGAGATAAAGGACCATTATGTCGAATATTATGCTTTTAAAAATTGTTTCCAAGTTTTTATAAGCTCATTTATTAATTTTGGGGCTAGCTTAACACAAAAAAAAATGAAGAAACAAGGATGCAAAGGAAAGTTGAGTAGCAGAAGATAATAATAAAAGAGAACAAAGATATAAAAGGAAAAGAATAAATAAAAGCGATATTTAAAGAAGAAGAAGAAATGGAATAAAACTGTAGATCATCACCTTTGCTGTCCTGCGCATAATCTGCTTCCACGACTTGTCCACAACAATAAAAAGCTTCGATTCGCTTGGAAGTTGTCTTTGTATATCCGGCGCCGAAAAAATCACCTCTAGATAAATCCAACTCTGTTGACACGCCACCCATTCATCCAATGTCCTCGAAAACAAATCCAATTGTCTTGCCCACTCTTCCACACGTCCTTTAATCGGCCCCACATGTCTCGAACTTGCAATTGTCGTAATATTGATAGTACTATCATCCAAAACACTCTGCACTTCTTCCAACGATCCCAAAATGTAAACATCCTTGGAATCCTTATGCAACATAACTTGAAACTCGAGCGTCTTCCATGACTCTTCCACCTTCTTCAAAAGCTGCTCAAGACTCGCCTCGCTACTCGCCTGTCCCGAAATCTCTTGAAGTTCATTGGCAAAAGTAAAAACTTTCAAATTTTCCAATAGTTCAAGTGTCACTTCATCGTCAGGCTTGAATTTGTAACTGAGAATGTTCTCGACTTGGACCCAATGGCGTTGTCTCAAACTCGGGTTTCGCAAATATGCAACGACTGGCAACTATTGAAAAAAAAAATAAGAAGAAATTAGCAACTCGATTAAGCACACCTTAGTTTTCATCAATTCAACATCGTCTTTCAATTTCGGAACAATGAGATTTTTGGGTAACCCCTTCTCTAGAAGATTTATATTTTTGATGGTCTTCGCTGTGTACAAATTCATGTCTTCGACGTTCAATTCGCTGAAATCGGAATGGTACCACTCGTCGACGGTTTTACTCCAAGATGTGACACTTTCCCATAGGAGCATTCGCAACTTCACATCGGCCATAACTTCGTCCAAAATATCAAAACGGGTCACTTCCAACTAAAATCAAAATTAGTACTCAAGTTGGTAAGTCCATTACTGACCTTTAAATGATAAAATAAAAATAAAAATACATAGACTTTGATAGATACTCGCCTAATATTATTTTCGACTATACAGCGTGTCCCAGAAATGAGTTACAATACAAATTAATGTAGATTTTTGTGACAATATTTGTGAGCTAAACTTTTATGTACTCACCTACCAGAATTTCTTGTACAAAATAAAGAATATAAACAGTACTTAAAAATTTCTTTATTTCACTAGACGATAAAAGACTATTTTATCTACTGAAATTAGTTAATAAAAGTACTCTTTAACATTTAGTACAAAATAAATAAATAAAAAAAAAATGGGAAAAATAACAGTAACATATTTGAAAATTTCAAGAAATGGGAAACAGAAAAACAAAAATTCAACTTTTTGAACTCTTCATATTATTGAGAATATCGTAACTTGAAGTTTTTATATCTAAAAATCGCAATTTTCAACAATATTTTCAGGTTTTATTGAAGAAACCGAAAATATTTTGAAAAAACACTAAAATATCTGCGAATTTTCCCTTCAAAAATCATAGATTTTAATTAGTTAAATTAAGAGATCTGAAATCTTGTAACGACCTTCAAGATTATAATCTTAAAAAAATGGATAAAAAGATAAAAAATAATAAATTTTAGTTCGCAAAAAGGCCATTGAAAAAATCCTCGTTTTATTACTTAGGTGACAGTGTGATAAATCACGAAACGGATTTTAAACGAAAAACATTAAAATGAAATTAGATTACTAGTTCCAAGAATTATAAACTTTGTTGATTTTTAGTACAGTTCTCCCAAAAATTTTTTTTTTATTGTCTTGTATATATAATAAATAACTATTTTTTGATAAAAATAAAGAGTTAAAATCCGATTTTCGTGATTATTTTAAAAACTGTAATAAGCAGTTTTTGCATCATTCAAAAATCATACTAACCTTGCTAATGAACACCCTGTAGATTGGAATTATATGTAAATTATGTCACGTGATAGATCAAAGCCTTTTTTTTTACCAAAAAAAAAATAGACAAAGCGTGCATTTTTTGACTTCTTACTAAGAAAATTTAATAATTTGGCAACGTTGCAATGCATTGAATCTTTGATTGTTTAATATTATTGAAAATTGATGAGGGTCTAAATTTTGGTAAATAATTGTTTATTCAAAGAATATTTTTCTCATTGTTTTTGTATTTTGAGCCCAAAAACTATAATTCTCGTTGGAAGAGTCGATACAAACACAAGTTTGTATTGTAACATATTTTTGAGACATGCTGTATACCTAGTTGAAGATAATTTGTTATTATTATTGTTATTACCCGGAATTGTTTCTGGTAGCCTTTGAATTCGGCCGCTCTCTGTTGACACGTCACAAGTCTTTCGTACAAATCGTTCAAAAATTCAGTCACTTCGCCGATATTTGACTCAATATCGTACAACCAAGGTTGCTAAAACATTCAATTTGAGTTATTGCAAAATCAAAAAAAAAAAAAAACTCACCATGCACTCGTCTTTTATAGCCCCAACTTCCGAAATCAACGCACTGATATCCTTATTCATTTGATCGTTGAAACTCTTGATGGTTTTATTAATTTCGTCCAATTTTCGATCGACTAAATTACGCAACGAGGCCATAGTCACACTAACCCCCAGATAATTGTTCATATCTTCGTCGGGGACCGGTATAGCAAACTCCTCCATAATATCATACAATTCCTTGCAATAATCCAAATTATTTTCCATGTCATTCAATCTGGTATTAGCATCATCCAAATACTCCAAATATTTCACATAATCAACAGTTGTCACCGGTTGGTGGTTTAGACTCGTTTCCATATTCTCCGACTCTTCAATCAATCGATCAATTTCGCTTTTACCAATCCAAGGAAGAATATGAGTTAGGGCCGAAATCAGTCTTTCCGGTTCCGGTTTTGCACAGTCTTTCAAGTGACTCAATTGCAAATTTAACATTCCAAGAGACTGCGACACTATAACACCGTCAATAATATCAAGTTCCTGATGGTAACGATTACACAGGTTTCGAAACGTTTCAATATCCCTTTCTTCTTTCAAAGCCTCCTCTTTCATTTCCTCGTCTTCGGCGAAAAATTCACGAATATAATTGTATTTATTCACGTATAATTGGGCCATTTTGTAATTATGGTCGAAATGTTTGATCACTTGGCGTCGAGAAGCTTTCAGTTTCTTGTCATCGTCAAGGTAGAAGTGCAGAGTGGGGCCGTAACCGCAAATCCGGGCCTCCTCTTTGCCATTTATTATCGGACTAAAATTTAAAAAAATATTACATTTTAAAAATTTGGGAAACTATGCAACCAACATTACTCCATAAACAAAAATTTGGAGAATTATGCAACCAACTCGTAAAAATTCTGTGCAAAAATTTAAAAAACTGCTGACTGATTTTGTTTAAATTCTTGATATTGGCTCTAATTCATTTTAACTGGGTCACCACTATAGGCAAAAAAAAAACAAAAATAGTGATTTGTTTTCAAATTTTTGACCATTTTGACTCAAGAAATTTTTTATTACGGCTCTGATATGGTTCATTTTGTGCTAAATTCTGCACTAATTGTAGACAAAAATTTGAAAAACTCCAACCCACATTTTTTGTGAAATTCTACATTTAAAAAAAAATGTAACTATGCAACCAACATTACTTCCAAATTCTGTGTAAAAATTTAAAGCTATGCAACTAACATTACTCCTTACTTTGTGAAAATTCTATACATTTCGTCGGCGGTGAAAGACTTGATTTTCTTGCAATGCTCTTGCCACAAATCCATCACTTGGTTAAAAATATTTAAAGTGACGTTTAGTGACGGATCCAGTGACAATTTCTTCGCATCCAAAACCACATCGGTGATGAATAAAGGAAGCTAAAATTTGCGTTTTTTACTCAATTCTTGTCAAATACACTATACCTGTGGGGCCTCCTCTGGTCTCGGTGCTTCCAAAATCTCCGTAATTGTCGCAGCTTCGATTTTTTCCTGCGACGGTAAAAATTCGATGTGTTTTTCCAAAATAACATTAAGATCTTGCGTTGATCGTGTAATTAAATTGTGCATCAAATCGATCATTAAATAATCGGCGAGAATAATAAAACACGTGAGACGCATACAAAATTTTTTCTTTGCTGCTTGTTCAATGTATGACGTTTTCTTGGCTTGAGCTTTGGTAACAATTCCACGTTTTCGTTCTGAAAATTAATGTTTAACAAGAGAGTTGTTTTCGAATTTTTTACCTTTCGTTGGTTCAACTAGTAATTCATTTGGGACAAAGCCTTTGGCTAAAAGGGCCCCATGACAGGCATTTGAAACGATATCTTTGGCCACTTCACGAAATTCTTCCAGCTTTTCAGACACCGATTCGAGTTTTTCCATCTTAAAAAAATAATAAAATACAGGGATAGATAGGCAACCAATAATACAACAATTTCTTAATTTCTTACTGTTTTTTCCATTATTATACATTTGAGTTTTAAATTTGTTTTCGATAGTCAAGTACCGACTATGATTATTCGATTTAGAATAGTTAATACTTTACACAAAATAGTTTATGAAATGTATAATATGTTGTCTGCCTTTCAGGCGGAAACAAATAAATTAATTAGCACAAACAACCAATAATCACCTGATTCTCGATGAAATAAAACAAGAGAAAATCCTCGATGGTCTCATCATCGATGAACGAAATATCAGTCATTTTGTAACACATTTGTTGTATGGCTAAAAGCCCCGCTCGTAGTTCATTATTTAAAATAAATAAATTCTCGTTGAGATATGTTTGAGCCGATTTGAATTTTTTCCGAACTACTGCTTTCCTCCAAACGTAGAAACCCTTCCATAATCGAAAACGGTAAAATGTGCGAAAATGCATCAATTTGCAGTACATTTTAAACTCGCGCTCCCACACATCCAAAGGGGTGAAAACAGTCTCAACCCCTTGGTGTTGCATCACACCTTTGGAACTCATCGTGAAGAAATTACTCTTGTCGACATTTGTAAACGGTACAACACTGAAAAAGTTGTTATTTGCACAATTTTACACAATTGTGAGTACCTAAGGGCATAGGGGGAGTACAATTCCGATGATTGGGGTACCGTATAAGTCATATAAATGAAATAACCATCGGCAGCTTGACGCAATTTTTCTATCCATTCGGTTTGGTCCATAACATCGTAAAGTTTTGCATGAGGGAGAACGGGTTCTTTGGCTACAGAGGGCGAAAGAGTACTTCGGCGGAATTTTAAACCAAACTTTGAAACTGCAAAACTCATCAATTATTGTTTTTTTTATTCTTAAATTATTTACCATCACTGACGATTGATTCATCCTCGGAGGAACTAACATTGAGGTCCTCAGAAGCGCTTCTTTTGCGACTCAACAAATCTTGTTGAATCTCCGAGAAACCAGCCTAAAATCAACGATTTTGACTCATTTCGTGTGGTTTTTCAAAAAACTTACCAAAGGTTCCGGGGGTGGCTTCTTATATTCGATTTTTTCAAGCAATTTCTTGTGGGGAATGTGAAAGGAAATAACATTGGAGTCTCTGGAAATAAAAACGTGCAAAAATTTAAAAAAATCAATGCATGGGATGACACTTGAAAAAAATAAAGTTTGTTTGACTAAGGAATTTTGAGAAAATGAAAAAAATTCATTACAGTCCAAAGGAGTCAATGTAACTTCACCATTTTTTTTAAGTCAAAGTCCCTTTTGATAAGCTTCATTTTCTGCAAAAATGAAAAAAATCGATACATGGGATGACACTTGAAAAAAATAAAGTTTGTATGACTAAGGAATTTTGAGAAAATAAAAAAAAATCATGACAGCTCTAAGGAGTCAATGTAACCCCACCATTTTTTCACAGTCAAAGGCCCTTTTGATAAGCTTTATTTTCTGCAAAAGTAAAAAAAAATCGATACACGGGATGACACTTGAAAAAAAATTAAGTTTGTTATACTAAGGAATTTTGAGAAAATGAAAAAAATCATTACAGCCCTAAGGAGTCAATGTAACTTTACCATTTTTTACAGTCAAATGCCCTTTTGATAGGCTTCATTTTCTGCAAAAATGAAAAAAATCGATACACCCGATGACACTTGAAAAAAATAAAGTTTGTATGACTAAGAAATTTTGAGAAAATGAAAAAAATCATTACAGCCCTAAGAAATCAACGTAACTATACTATTTTTTTACAGTCAAATGCCCTTTTGATAAGCTTCATTTGCTGCAAAAATTAACAAAATCGATGCACGAGATGAGACCTGCAAAGCATAGAAAGCGACTGGGCTCGTAGTTTTATATAAATCATCCTGTATATGAAACTATGAAAACTAAATCACGTAAACTCAAGCGTTGTTACCATAGCAACGGAACAAACAGCCATGTTTGTCGCTTATTTCCGGTTCCAACTTGTTAAATTTTCCTAACCTAGTATTTTGAATTGCTTCTAATTTTTTTATAAATCACCCTCTATATGAAACTATGTTTTTTCGAGTCTATTTGGCATTTTTTGATTTTTGAGAAAAAAATCACGTGAGCTCAAGCCTCGGTTGCCATAGCAACGCAACAAATGACCATGTTTGGCGCAATTTTCCGGTTTCAACTTGTCTAAATTTGAAATGTGAGTATTTGTTGAATTTTCCCACACTTTTTGATCATAATAATGGTTATTGCAGTTTCTGTGTGTGGACAGACCTGTGGAATGACTGAACGGGCTTGCATATGAGCTTATTTTCGACTGTGCCCTTCTCGTCGACCCTTTCGAGCTCATCAAACGTGTGTTCAGTTTTCGAACTTTGTCTGGATTTCGGGATTTCACCAAATGGCTCATCCATTTCCAAAATTTACAGTTTTATATTCACTTCACACAAATACACGAATTTTATTTTCGCAAAACTGTTATTTCATTACCATGGAAACACACGTTCAATTTTCCCCCAGAGACAAACAACCACTAGATCGCTTCATCAGGAATTTATTTGAAATCAAGACAAGAATTTAATTTAACAAAACTGAACAGGTATGTTAATTAAATAAGCAATCATGATCCATAATCATCGCGGTTCATTATTTCATTTCATTGTTTTATTAAGTTGTAGCTTGAGTTGTGGTATTTTCCGTGGTTGTCGACTGTGTTTCACTCACTGTTGTTTCTTTAATTGCGAGCCACGGCAACCGTTTCTGCAACTCAAGTCTGGAAAAAGCGTGAAAAACTTTCGCTAAATTCGCAAACCTGTATTTTGGGTGACTTATGGCATAGACATAAGGATCCAAACACGCTACAAACTTGCATGCACAAGCCGGGACCATCGTGACTCCGGGCGTGAGCAATGATTGGTCACCGAACGCACCAATCAGGGCCAAGACAGCGTACGGAGTCCACGAGGCTACGAATAACGAACAAATGGCAATCGCAGCTTTGGCTATTTTCAGCTCAGCCGATTGGTTGGCTTGCGATTGGTTGCTACGGAGCGATTCGACGTTCATTTTTTTCGCCTAAAAGTTTGTTTTACACAGAAAAGAACAATAGTAGGAGGGACCTGTTCTCGAAGGGCTTTCTCATGACTGAAGACTTTACTAACAATCTGACTGTAGAAGTAGATTATCATTGACATTGGGATAATGTAGGAACATATGAATATCGACGTGACGAACATGTGGTTGTCGAAAGTGTCGGTCAAGTAGTCGAAGGAACAGGCCGTTAGGAATCCCTCGGGGGCGAATCGTCCCCAGATTTCTAGTAGTGGCAGCACTGCCCAAGGAATGGTGTACCCCCAAACGAAGATGATCATGACTAAAGCCTTAGTTCTTGTGATTTTGCCATCAAAGGGCCTTGTTATGGTCGTATACCGGTCATAGGCGATACATGCGTTGGTCATACCGGCCCCAATCCCCGATAAAGACCCAATAAATGCGAAAATTTGGCACCCTAAATGCCCCAAAGCAAAACCACGATAAAACGAATTGTAAATAAAAATCGGTGTTTTGATCATCATCGCAAAATCGCAAATGGCAAGATTCACAACAAACATATTGGAAGCTGTTCGTAGACTTTTCGATCTGGAAAATTTCAATTTTGTGATTTTGTTTCCAGTTTTTGGGTTTTTTACGTGGTAAAAATCCAGATGACGAGTCCATTTCCTATTGTTGCCATTATGAAGAATCCAATGTAGATGAGGGCTAGGAGGAAGTGCATTGAGGCTTCCGGTTCGGGATAGATGAGCCAATGTTGGGGGATGTGGACGAGTTCGTCCTTAGGGACGTTCCATCCCAGATGGTTGATTCTTGAAATGATTGATTTGGGTGGTGGTTGAGGGGGTGATACCTACCTGGCTTGGTGGAAAGGTCTTGCGGTCAAGTTGTGCAGCATTGTGAGAGATTTACACAAAAGTGACAAGGGTGTTGGGACTGTGAGGGGTTTTATACAAGATTTAATCGGATTGAGGTGACCTTAATCGCATTAATAACATTAAATCGGGGCGGAATTACGGATTAAGTGGAGGATAATAAAACGACTCCTTGTTTTAGCTTTCATCAGTGTAATACAAGATTATAGTAATATGAGGTCGGGAAGTTGTCATTACAACCCGTCATTTTCCACCTCGCATATAATCTACTATTTCATTCAAAACAGTTGCGGTCAGCTCATAGTGGCCATTTGTCTGTGTAAATCTGACTTTTGAATGATAATTCTGACACAATTTAGTTACTTCTGTTGCTAACTTTGCAATATGAATTGACCGCGGAAACATGTATAAAAAGTGTAAATAAATAAAAATCGCCCCTTTCACGACATGGAAATAGCCGTCCTCCTCACCGCCGCACTCAACAGAGCATTAGTGTCCGGCTGTTTGGTCAAAACATCAACTTTGACCCACTGTCTCGTATTCGAGGAGTGTCTAATCGCGCTTAAAACTGCTTGAACGTACAAACCATCGTCGAAATTTGCAGCTGAACAAACCGGTTCCTTCACCCATCCAGCCTTCTCTTTGACTGGCAAAAACGCCTCTCTTAACGCCGAAACCATTTTACAAACTCCCTTAATGAATGGTTTCGGGAGAGTTGAATTGGGCACAGCACACTGTAAATCCTCCACGTCCAAATACAACACTTCTTCGTTGCCTTTGTTCCTCCGGCCGAATAAATCGCCTCCTCGGACCACCAAATGCCCGGTGGTGCTACAAACCATGACTTCCTGTTGGAAATTACCCCCCATTGTGTGACTATTGAGGGTGGCCGTGACGAGAATACCATTGGCTAGTTCCATTTGAAACGTGCAGAAATCCGGGGCGGAGATGTGTCGGATTCCGGTGATGTTTGGGGTTGTTTTAGTGAAGGTGCGGACGACTCCGTGGACACGGACGGCTCGCTGATTGGTGAGGAATGTCACCAGGTCGATGACGTGGCTCCCGATCAGGTTTAGGGTTCCGCCCCCCATCACATCGTCGCATTTCCAATCGAAGAAATCACTGTCTGTAAATAAAGACCCACTTTGGATCCTGATATCAATTAGAGTGATACTAGACTCGAGATAGTTCTCTTTTATCGCTTTCCGCATGTGAGTCAAGGCTGGGAGGAAGCGAAACGGGTGGTTGATGAGGGATATCAACGAGGGGTAATACTGGCCAGCGCGGACCATTTTGAGGGCGTCGCATTGGTTGAGCCCCGCCGGTTTGTCGCAAACGATGTGTTTGCCAATTCCTAGAGCTTTGACACTGATTTGGGCGTGCAAATTGGGCGAACACAAGACGAAAATTAAGTCGACGTCTTTGCGGAGTAAAACGTCGTCGATTTTGTTGGTGAAAAAGGGGATGTTGAGCTCGCGGGCGGTGTCTTGAGCGTCATGCAAGGTGCGGCTCCAGACAGCCTCGATTTTAAAGCCATTCTCGCGGAGGATTGGAACGAGGAGTTTCACCATGGGGCCGGTACCGAATAAACCAATTCCGGGTAACATGTTTTCTAACCTCAATTTTCCTTTCAGACTAAATTATGCCATTCGAATTGCATTGTTTAACAAATTTGGTGGCTGGAAACGATTGTATTACTGTTTTTTGCTTTTTATTACTTACTCTACAAATTTACAATGCGTCTGAATTTGATGTGTCGGCAGTTTCGAATGTCGATCAGACCGAAATATAAATAACTGCGTTTTTCTCGAATTGATTCTTTAGCCAAGTGTTTATACATAGATATTTATCAAAGGTTTCACACTGGATTTTAAATAAGTACGATTAAATTGCCACATCTTAAAATATTTTTGTTCTTTGTGCCAACATAAACATAACCCACAGACTAGGTGGTGCTGTGTATAGTTGGTTGCATAAATATTTTTGTAAAATTTATTGAGTTATTAAAAATATGAAATATCACTGCGCCCCTGAATGCGTATTCATATGCGTCCTCAAACAATGCGCTTGTATGAATCCCTTCCCGCACACCCCACACACATGTGGCGTCTCCCCCGTATGTATCCTCTTATGCACCCTCAAATTCGTCCCCCTTGTAAATCTCCTCCCACACACCTCACACTCAAAATTCTTATCGCCTGTGTGAATCAACATATGCCTCTTTCTCTCCGAACTAAAAGTAAACTTTTTTCCACAAACTGAACACTCAAACGGCCGCGCCCCCGAATGTCTCTTCCTATGATTCCTCAACGCCCCCTTTCGACTAAACGCCGCTCCACAATCACTGCACACATAATCCTTCTTATCTGAATGCCCCGCTTCATGCGATCGCAGCGCCGATTGCTGTGTGAACCCCCGACCGCACGTGGAACATGTATACGGCCTCTCCCCCGTGTGCAATCTCCGATGCACCGACAAGTTACCTCGTAAAACAAAAGACATGCCACAGATCTCGCACGTGTGCTTCTTCACCCCTGTGTGGACTTGCACGTGGAGGCGCAAATTGGCCTTTTTGAAGAAGGTTTTGGGGCACAGGGAACACTTGAACGACTTCAAATGCGAATGTGTTTGTTCCATGTGCTTGGAGAGGTTGCTAGGACTGCTGGGTTCAAAGGGGCAAAATGGGCATGTCTTGGGGGGCGCATTGTGGCGCTTTTTGTGTTTTAGCATACTGGTGCGGTATTGGAAGACTTTGGAGCACAAGGGGCAAGTACGGTTTGTGGTGTCAGACTCGTGGGTTTTGCGATGGTGTAATAGTGATTTTTTTGAGGTAAAACTTTCATCACAGTTGTGACACGAGTGTTTTGTTGAAGTTTTAATACTTTTTTCAATTTCTATTTTTATTGTTTCAACAGTTGGTAGCGTTTTTTTCAAACTAGTTCTTTGGGCAAATGTTTGTAGATATTTATCAGAGGTTTCACATTGGACTCTAAATAAGTACGATTTAATTGCCACATCTTTGCAATTTTCGCATATTCCTTGGGGAAACTCGTCCGTTTCAGATATCTGTTGACAAAAACAAAAAATTTAAAAACTGATTTTTTTTATCATCAAACAATAAATATTCGATCGTATTAATTGATGTTAAATATGATTAAAAAACTTTTTTTTCAAAATTTAAAAATGACAAGTATGAGTGACAACTGTTACATACTAAAAACCCAAGTTTTGATCAATTTTCGCTGAAAAATACAAATATTATTGGCTGTTGTGTTATTAAAAAAATAAATATTTGAACAAATTTATTGAGATTTCATAAATAAAACATTAAAAAAATATGATTTAGAGAATTTGAATGAGAGAAGCATCACGTGACATCTGTCACATGGTTAAAATTCAGTTTTTGACAAAAAAAATCATTGAAAATAATTTAAAAAGCATAAATAATAAATCTTTAAACAAATTTATTGCAATTTCATAAATAAAGCATATAAAAATACCTTAGAAAATTTGAATGACAGGATCATCACGTGACATCTATTACATGGTTAAAATTCAACTTTTGATCAGTTTTTGAAGAAAAAAAAATTGAAAAATCATAAATAACAACGCGTTGAACAAAATTTATTAAGACTTGATAAAAATACATTAACAAAAAAAAAAAGAAAAAATCATTTAAAATCATTAAAACAAATATTTGGCCAATTTTTTTGAGATTACATCACTAAAACTTGAAAAAAATTATTACAAAATTTGAAAAAAGGGACCATCAAGTGACATCTGTCACATGGTTAAGATTCAATTTTTGACTAGTTTTTGGCAAAAAAAAATCATTTAAAATAATTAAAAAAGCATAAATAGCAAATTTTTGACAAAATTTATTGCGATTTCGTAAATAAAATTTGAAAAAATTATATTTGAACAATTTGAATGACAAGGTACCCTACTTTTTCAATATTTGTATTTTTCGTTAAAATTCAACTTCTTTATCAGTTTTTGATAAAAAAAAAATCATTCAAAATCATTGAAAAGGCATAAATAACAAATCTTTGAATAAATTTATTGCAATTTCATGAAAAAATATGATTTAGAAAATTTGAATAAGAAGAGTATCACGTGACATCTGTCACGTGTCATGGTTAAAATTCAACTTTTTATCAGTTTTTGAAGAAAAAAAATCATTGAAATATCATAAATAACAACTCTGAACAAATTTATAGCAATTTCATAAAAAAAAACATGATAAAAAAATGAGTTTTTCGAAATAAAACAACTTATTATTACAAAATTTGAATGACAGAAACATGACGTCATGTGACATCTGTCACAAGGTTAAAATTCCACTTTTTATCTTTGTGTTTTTGACGCAAAAAATCATCGAGTCAACAAAACGACGCTCGTAGAGACATTACAATTGGTTAACACCTCAGTAAAACAGTTAATTGTGCCAAAATCACCCAAAACAAGCATCTTACCTGTACTGAAGCACAACTCTGAATGATTTCAGTAAGTGTTAAACTGCTCTCACCAACTTGTACACACTTCGAAAGTGCGTTAAATTCGTCACAAATACGAAGACAAGTCCTACATCGTCTCTCAATATCGTTGGAAATATTTACAAAATTGTTAAAATCGCAATACGCCATCTTGGCAAAACGTCAAAAATGTGCACACCATAACCTCAAAAAACGTTTTTCTTCCAGTAATGACAAACATTGCCGAGGATCTGATAAAGTGTGTGAATTTCGCCGCCGAGAAACAGAAGGACCAGAGACGCAAAAACCCCGAGAAAACCCCCTACATAAACCACCCCATTGGAGTGGCTTACATCCTCACAAACGAGGCAAAAATCACCGATCTTGAGGTGCTCCAAGCCGCTCTTTTGCACGACACCGTCGAGGACACGGCGACCACATTTGAGGAGATTGAGGAGGTGTTCGGGAAGCGCGTCCGAGGCATTGTTGAGGAGGTAACCGACGATAAAAGTTTACCGAAAGAGGAGCGAAAAAGGCTACAAATTGAGCACGCGAAAGGCTCCTCATACGAAGCCAAACTCGTCAAGCTCGCCGACAAATTGTACAATTTACGTGACCTGGAAATCGCCACTCCGGAAGGGTGGAGCGAGGGGCGCGTCCGGGAGTACTTCGTTTGGAGCAGCAAAGTCGTCGCGGGGCTGAGAGGCACCAACGCCCCCTTGGAACACAGTCTGGATCAGATCTTTCGTCGGCATGAAAGAAGTTAAACACCACAAACAGCAAAGTTTGTGCCAGACTCGAGCCGCTTATAGACAAGGTCGGAGACTCACAGCTGTTAAAACCTACACTATTGCGAACGAATCGCAACATTTATTCGTTTATGGGGTCCCCAAAATCAACCTTTTTAGCGAATTTAAGGCGTTGTGTGCCAAACAAGGAAAATTAACAAAGTTTCATCTAGTCGCCGACCACAAAACTGAGATTTTCACCGAATGTTTTCACGTCGTCTATGAGAAGTTTGAGGTGGCAAGGAGGGCGAAAAGACTGCTAGATAATAAGGCGTTCTATGGGGGCATCCTTCATGTGTGCTATGCCCCGGAGCATGAGACTGTGGACGAGACTAGGGCTAAGCTATTGTTAAGAAATCAAAGTATTTTAAATTATAAAGGCTAAATAAATTAGGTAATTAAATATTTTGGCTGTTTTACAGCGTCATCTATCCCCGATTCCAAAAACTACATTCATCACGAATAAAATGCAATAAAACACACTAAGAACCTTGAAAAATATGTTTTTAAACACTTACCAGCGAAATTACGGTTTGTCTGATTTAAATAGAGCTCATTTTTCGACTTTTTCAGGCACTAAATTGTTCACACAATAATTAAAAACAAACGCAACTCAAAATCCAAAAATGGATTCCAACAGCCAACCTAAGAAAAAATACGTAACAATTTGGTATAAAAAAAACGCATTTTATAATAACTTTTTTTTTAAGAAACCAAAGTATTTTATATTATAAAGGATATATAAATTGGTTAATTAAATAAATATTTTGGCTGTTTTACAGCGCATTTATCACCGATTCCAAAAACTACACTCATCACGAATAAAATGCAATAAAATACATTACAATGCCTGAAAAATATGTTTTAAATTACGGTTGGTTTGAACTAAATAGAGCTCATTTTTCGACTTTTTCAAGCACTAAATTGTTCACACAATAATTAAAAACAAATGAAACTCAAAATACAAAAATGGATTTCAACTTTTGAATTCCTTCTAAGGTCATATGCAGTAGAGGCAGCGCGCATGCGCAGTGGTTTATACCTGTTTTAAATAAACAAATAGTCAATAAAAATGCCAGTTTTTAGACGAAAAAAACAAACATTTTTCTCAATCCTGACATCAAACAAATTTGCTTAAAAATCAACACATTGTAAAAATTAAAAAATGAACTTAAATTCGTTTGACAGGTGACAGGTGCACATGCGTAGTTGCCAGTGTTTATAAAAAAATAAATAAATAATATTCATTGTGATATATATAAACAATGCCCCTGAGGTAGAAAAGCTGAAACAAGTTAATCAAAAAATGTAAGATTGCAGTTAATCGAATAAAAAAGTTAAATGCTTTAATTTATAATACTTGCGCATGCGCCGCAATTTAGGTATTTTTTTTTAAATAAACAAATAATTAATAATAAAAATTCCAGTTATTAAACAAAAAGGAACACATTCTTCTCAGTCGTGCCAACAAAATATTTTGTTGAAAAACTGCAAATTAAAAAAATTAATATATTCATAAATTATTGAACAGGTGTGCATGTGTAGTTGCTAAAGTTTATAAAAAAGTATTCATTTTTAATTCAACAAAATTTTGAAAAATATTTGAGACTTGACACTTCGAAAATCAAATTCTTCAAACTTTGTGACATTTCTGTATTACCAACCACCACCTTATTAGGGTGAAAGTTTTTAAATTTTGAGAAATTGACTTTTATGTTAAAAAAAAGTACGTACAGACAAAGTTTGAGCTTGTTATAAATATATTTTAAGAAGAGCACCTACACAACTTAATACTAAAACTTCGTTAATACATTGTAAAAAAAATACACAAATGTTTAAAACACATGACACTTACTTTCTAAAAATAAAAATAATACAAAAATTTACAAAATATATAACAGATTAAAATCTTTTCGGCCTCGGAGTCCTGGGCAACTCTCTGGGAACAAGAAACTTCTCATTTTTGATAGAAATTTCCTCCGGATTGGTAACTTTAACTTCAAATGTGGTGGATCGGAAGCCTTCTTTTCCGGAAATTTCCTTCTACAAAAAACCCTCAAAATGTAACAAAATCGCTACAACTCCTCAAAAACTTACCTCAAAATCGTGATAACTAGTCGAAACCTCCCCCACATTCAGATTTTCCTTATCCGAACTCCTGTTAAATYACAGTCTTTGCCTCAATCGCTCTCTTCGGGCTGATTTGCGACGATTCTTAGTCTTTGAAATGATCAATTTCGGCAAACCCGTCTTGGACACTCTCTTCTTAACCGAAATTTTCGCCTTTTTGGGCGGCTCTGTCATCGCAGTGATCGGAGCTTTACGTTTGGAGCAATGACGAGGGGTTAATAACGTAGGTGTCACCATACGAGGCGACAGCTGCTCCCTTTGCTCCTTCTTGGCGCTTAATTTTTGCTTAAACTCCTAAAATTCAATCAAACAAAATACAAATTGCGTTTTTTACAAACCTTTTGCTTGTCCTCGTGCAACTGTTCGATATACTCAAAAATGTAAAACTCTCGTCCAGTGCGCAAATAGTGCTCCTGTGCCAAATTTCGAAGCGATTCTTCGACTCGTGGAAGTCGTTTTTTGAATTTGTTGCGATTTTTCTCCTCGAGTAAGAGTAGCCCTCTCGGGCATACGTCGAGGGCTTGGAGACCGAAGCCCTCGAGCGTGTAGAAATCTTCTTCCAGTTGAAGGAAAAGATTGTGGAGATTGTCACCGAGTTGGAGGTTTGCCCCAATATCGAGTTCGAAAAAGACGTTTTAAATTTGACTAACACTCAAGTCATGATCACGGACGCCGAGATGGCCCAACTCCGGGAGTTCCACGACCAGTTGGTCACACGTCTATCAAGTGTGAAGGAAGAGATTGGAGAATTGAGGAGCAAAATCGACGACTTGTGGAAGAAACTCGGGATTGATTTGGTTGAGCGGGTTTTTTTCCTGCAAAACAACACGGGTCATTCATTAAAGACCCTCGATGCCCTAAAAATTAAGTTAAATCGGTTAGAAGAGATGAAAAAGGCCAACTTGAGGAATTTGATTGAAAAACAACGAGCCGAGTTGGTGGAATTGTGGGACAAGTGCCATTGCACTCAAGAACAGCGTGATGTTTTCACATTTTATCACTCGGAGTG